TTCAATAAGTAAATAGATTGTGTGATTAATATAAATATAATTTAAATATTTTTAGTAGTGTTAAGCCATTTGTCACTCTGTATATAACTGGTGAAAGCAAGTGAAGCTCAGCCCAGTTAGCCATTGGATCAGACCTAATGACTATTTGTTTGATATAAACTCTATTTAATGGTTGAAATAAGTTGAGTTTTGAACCAATTCGGGTGTGTCCTCATTATATTACAACTAAAACCCCGACACCATATGAATTGCATGAATCAGTGGGTCTATAGGTGTTGTGCTCCGGGAGTGCCGAATAAGTTAGTAGTACTTTGAGATTGAACCGCAAATACTACTGTATTAAATCGTAACTTAATCTAATGTAATCATTAATAAATCAATTTTTTTAAATTGTTTTTTTAATATTGCAATCTATTGAGAATTAATATTTAAGCCATTTTGATATTAATAATTTGATATTATATTTCACTGAATATTGTGTTTAACATATACACTATAACTTAAAGTCTTTATAAGATATAATTGAGTACAATATGAGATATTTGATATAATATTCAAACATAAATATATACAGTTTTTTTTGTGGGAAAACCTGTGTTTTGTTTGTGATTTATGTATGGATTGATGGTTCATATAAGCAGTGTATTAGTTGTCAAATTGGCACTTATAGGACTGACTGATTCATTGTGTATTATAGCAAATATATCATTATAACATGCAATACAATATTGAATAAATAAAAATATAAAATATTTTTCAATATATTTGCGGTTAAAATAAGTCGCCAAAAGCAGAAAAAAATTTAAGCCCTATTAATGTCCCGACAATGCATTCAAACGACAGCTGACGCTATTGTCATACAAAACCAACAATTTGAATGTCAAATACAGATCCGTTACACTTTGCATACAATTGTCACTATATTTGTAAATATGTTTCATTTCATATGATTCACACCAATACTTACAGTTTGGTTCAAAATTGAAAACATTACAAACTGGTGAAAACAACACTACTTGACACTCACTGATTGCAATGTTTTAAAATTACATGAATTAATAAACTATTCAATTAATATAAACTCTATTTTAATAATAATTAGTAAACTTTTTAAAACTTCAATATAGCTTTAGGTCAACAATATATTGATAGTACTGTATATACACTAACATAAATTTTATGTAATTTAAATACAGTAGTTATAGTTTTCAAAGTTTAATAAATAAAAGAAAATTAAAAGTACAGTAATAAATAAATTATTAATGTTATGCTGCACTTTACCCTAAATTAATCATAAAATATTAAATAAATGTGATATGATAATTTTGGTAATTATTAATCAATTACTATTGATAATTATTAAAAAATAATAATAATAACATTAAGCTTAAAGTCAAATAAACGTATAAATCATAAATAATTTTGTTTTTTAAAATTTATAAACAATCAGTAATTTTACGTTAGTATAAAATAGACATTTGGGATACAGTATATCAACTCCCAGATTGAGGAGACAGTACCTTAAATTTAGTCTTTTCTACTCAATCGGGTTAATGCAGCAATTGATTGAATCGGAGAGAGAAAGAGAGAGAGAGAGAGAGAGAGAGAGAGAGAGAGAGACCTAATTACAGAGGACCAGACCATCTAAGATTGGCAATGACTGAACTTTATCAAAGTGCATACTATAGTATGCATACATCAAATGTAACACAAATGTAATACAGTCGTAAGTGAGATTTGAACCTGGTACTACAGCCCAACAATCCTCTACACTATTAAGTTAATACACTATAGTATTAACTATGCTAAACGTCTATCATAAAACAAATAAAATAATAATTACAATACATTTTAAAAATGGATTCATTTGATAAATACTGTATTTAAAATATCATGTCATATACTAAACAAAATCAAAATCATTTAATACATATTGTATTGTATTGGTTTGTACAGTACTACAATAAACCATGATTTTAATCTTTAAATAGTTAGTTATAATTTTGTAATTTGAAGTAAGATTATATTTACCCTAATACTATGTAATATTTTATTTATATTTAGTAATATTAAAATTATTAAACTGTTCATTAAAATACTTATATCTCATTTATTGCTTATATTTCAATCATTTGTTTATAATTATTAGTTAATATTTAAATTAGAATTTTTAAAAGCACTAATACTTTAAGTACTTTATTAGCGATGATATTATAGTTATTATATAAAAGCATATTAAACATTGTGGACATTTGTAAATGTATTAGTTTATGTTAATTTACAAATTAAATCATTCTCTGACTATATGTTAACAAAATAAATGCAAACAATACTAAACCTAAATACAGTATTTTATTTATAAATGCATTTATTGTAAATGTATTTTTGAACAGCAGTGCAAATAACAATCACAAATGATATGCAAACGACAAGTAGTTTGAATGACACAACATATCATATACACTAATGAAAGTATTTACTGATTACTGAATTTAAATATTAGTTTTAATGCAACCATTGAATCGTATAATTTGTCTCTCAGTTATCTTCAAATACTATACGATAGTCTATACCAAACCCAAAGCCACTTATGGATAGGCATTCAATTTAGCTAAAAGTGCTGTCGGAGCGGAAATTCCTATTTAATCTAATCAATTGTTGTGACCCTACAGTCGCTACAATATATGGCAAATAACTACTGGAAATCAAATATAAAGATTTTTCTAATTATCAATTAATATATTGTTAATTTACTTATTAATGTTTAATGTATAAATAATATTAAATTGTTAAACATTTATAATTAAATCTGATTGTTTGCTCAATTTATTAAATAATATTTCAGTTAAAAAAATAAGACTTTGATTAAAATTAATGACGTGTTTATAATTTATAAAAAATAATGTTTTTCGCTAAATATTTTTTTAAAGAATTTTATACATTTAAATGGATTGTATATATATTTTTAAAAAATTTTGCCTCATGTGAGATGACATGAATGTATTTAACAATCAAAATACTATACATCCCTAACATTGCTATGCTATGAGTCATCACAATGAAAGTGATCTCATTTTTGTAGTTGAGATGAACTGATGGGCTATTGTCTTGTCGTCCATACCTTTGCTGTGTTATCCAAATGGTATTAATGAACGCATTGTTGACATTCCTTACATTGTCTTTTGACTGTTCTCTCGGCACTCAATTAATTCAAACACACGTTTCCACTGTTTTTAATACATTACTCTATTGTTATTACTTGTAATGATTAGTACTGTAGTGATGTTTAGTTACAATAATTAGAAAAACTATTTTTAAATTACTTCTATTGTTTTGATCCAACAAAAAATTAATATTTATTTGCTTATTGTTGACAATGCATGTAAACAACATTTAATCAAATTTGTAAACCTATTATTTGTATGATTTACATAAAAACACTCATCTATTTATTTAAAATGCTAAAATCAAATGAATAATGAATGACTGGCCAATAACAGTATATTTTGCTTATTATATCTATTGGTTTGAAAAAAATGACAAATGAATGCATTATTTGATATGACATCATATGTAATATAAGGCAATAAAATATAATAAATGATAAAATTCTATATAGAAATTCATTTTCTCACAAATTTAAGATCACATTCACTGACATGTGATGTGTTGGCAATCATATCATATCATAGCATATGATATGATAACACATCCAGTTTATGATAAATCCTCTAAATATTAATTTATATTTAATTTAGAAATTCCTTAAATATCTCTATCATAGAGAATAACATGTGAATTGTATTGTTGTTAATATTAATATTTAATTCAAAAAGTCATTTATAAGTGTGATTATCATAGATGAATAATTAATATAAATGCATTATATCATACTATATATTTAAATAACAAATTTGAAAACATATAATTGTCTTAAATTAAGACTCTTAATGAAATTTTTCTGAAAAAAACAAATTATAAATACTGTATATTTCTTAAAGTATTCATTCATTTCAAAATTAATAAATTATATGACAATATTAAAATAATTAGTTATTTCAGAATTTTGTTATATTATTATTTTGTTTTTAAATAATAATTTTTACATGCTTATTTGTTTTATAATATATTATCATTTATGTTTAATTATAATGCAATGAATGAAAATCTATATAATCTAACATATCTTAAGCCATAAATCTATTATACTTTAGTACTAATATTAAAGTACACAAAATATTATACAGTAAAATACAACTCATCAAATGTTTCGTTAATATTATTTTTCAAAATAATAGAAATGATAAATGGTTAAAATGCAGTGTTAAAAATAATAGAAATTTGTAATATTAATAAATATTGTATATATAAGCGATGACCATTTCATAAGTATTATGTAATGTTGTCAATGGCTTAAATTGATTGCATTTGAGCTCAAACAGACAGCAAATTGTTTGCTTTATATATTAAGATATATATAACTATACTGTATATCAATATAAAATATAATATTGATATATCAATAGTGATATTATCGAAATACTATTTTTCATATGACATTTGTATGCCATATAGTTTTCACACAATTTAATGTTTTAATAAAAATCCTTACAATATTATAGTTATTGTACATATAATTAATAGATATAGTCATAGAAATTAATGACAATATTTATCATTTATATATATATTTTATAACATAAAAGTATATATTACGTATTATTAATTTTGTCACTTTTAAAAATAATTACCTAATGTTATACACATTTTTTATATACAATAATATTTTATTTTGTTAATATAAATTATATTTATAATTAGTTTTTATGAAATATATATATATATATATAATGTACAGTTTATAATAATAATAATATATTATGTTTGTTATATTATATATTATAATATAGATCTAACACTTTTATATTTTCTATATATAGATAATAGTCATGTGTTTGTTATCTAAGTTATACAAAAAAATGATGAGAAGACTGTCCTTTGAGTGCAAAAGTTTGAGTTTAGTTGTGATATAATGTAATGAAATGAGATTTGGCTCAACCCTTCATCGGACGACAGGACATGATTGAGACACGCGATGGCATCCATTGTTATAATACTTTTGTCGATACAATTGTCTCTTCAATTTGGATATATTGTCCAAAATAATCGGGTTATTCGGGTCCAGACTGTGTGCCTGAAAATAGTGATGTAATGCTGTATTATAGTCGCCCTCTAAATGACAGATAACGGCTAAATTCAGATGAGATCGGGATATACTACTATCCAGTGATATTGCTATCCGATAACTCTATAATATTATAAATAAATATAAACATCAAGTATTATATGTATTTAAAATAAGATTTAATAATAATAGATAAAACAAATATAGTGATTGGTCATAATAAAAACAATAATACCTCAGCAGCACTTTGCCAATCCCTAAGGTCACGCAATATATCCCCGTGCTCTACATACAGGTGCGCACATGTTATGTCATCCGGTGAACATAATGTCAACGCTTTAACGATATAGTCGAGTGCCTAAAGATATACAACAAGAGTGTAATACAAATATAAAACTGTTTATTAAATAAAATACAGTATTTAAATAAGAAAATTATTTTCATTAATTTACAGTATATATATGATTATAAAATAAATTGATATCAAAAATATCTAATTTAAGATAAAATTTTCAATTTGATATTTAATGAAAATTTATTGCTATAAAATACAAGAAAATATATTATATCAAATCTAGTGAATGAAACAAACATATATATATATATAACTACTGTATATTGAATTGTATTAATGTTTTAGTCAATGTATGTAAACCACAATTTTACGGCATTTTTGTTATGCGGTAACACATCTATAGATAAACACTAAAAAAGAAATTCATTTTATTTCTTCAAATGACTCCCCGGAGGCTATGGTTTGAGACAATGTTGAGAACAATAGGATTTCCATACAAACTAACAGTTTTGGGTGATTGTTGTGTAACAGCTATATATCTGATCAATGGTTATAAGAGTGTAATGTCGTATCGGACCAACAGATAAGCCATAATTTAAACAATGGATTTAATGCTTAAACTTTATGTACTTTTATCTATTCAAACATTAAGTCTTTTTTCGTGTCGTTTTGTTATAAAAAAGCTTTTAATGATTTGTTATTATTTTTATAACAAATCATATTTTATTTTCTTTAGTTTTATTGTTTCTTTGTTATTGTATGAATGTAATTATATCTATATATCAGGGTTAAGCAAGATTTTATATTTCATGGGAGTATAGGATGGCGTAAAATAAAAAAAAATCTTCGGGTATAGAGTGGTGTATCATTTTAGTGCATTTTTGAACATTTTTCAAAAAATTCAGGAGCGATAGCAAGAAAATTCTCAAAAGTCTATAAATTCCTATTTAAATGTATGGAAATTACGAGAAAAATAAGATATATTTTCAATTAATTCCTTAGATGTTCGGAATATTTTCTTTAATTAATAAAAAACTGATTACTTAAATAAAAAATAATTCTTTCTTTAAAATGCAAAATTTTAAAAGTATCAATTTATTATTATTATCTTAAAATATTATACTAATTATAACATAATTAGTTTGTAAAACATCTTTAAGTTTTTCAGTTATATATTTTTATTAAAATAATGTTATATTTAGATAAATATTACCTCAACACTAATTATTATTATTTTGGTTAATATTTAGACTCTGCTAACTTATTTCACTAAAAATTAAAAAATAAATAATAATATATAAAAATAGATATAATTATCATTAATTCAATTATCTAAAAATACTTTTCTACTTGTAACATTATCACTTTATTGAACAAATAATTTATTTTCAAGTTTTTAATCTCATAATTTTATTAAAACAATGTTATATTTGATTTTATTTTAATGTAGTTTAAACTATTTTTACAAATTTTTATTAAATAATTCAATTTAAATATACTATAAAAGCACAAAATACTTAATTAAAAATTTTAAGGGGGTCAGTTTCTTATTGTTTTTAAGCAACAATTATTTTGATTGAGTCAAAAAGTCTGGGATAAAATACAAAAATCTTCGTCATAGGAGGTATTTTCGACTACCCCTCTACACATCCAACTTAACCCTATTATATATATATACACACATATATATATATATAAGACCTATTGATAAATAGTGAGAAAGTCTACTCTAAAACAATTTTATTAATTTTTTAGATATTTTGATTAATATACTATTGTTTAACTCAAATGACATCTTTTATTTTGTCGTATTATTTATCCTATATCTGTGTCAGAAGTGGTCAAAATTATTCCTTATTAAGACAGAAATTTCAATAGTTCTTGAATTTAACAAAATTAAAAATCAGAAAAATGTTAACAATATATAATTGTTATTAAAGTCTTGATTTCATTTGTAATTTCATTTCAGTTTTATTTTTAGTCAAATTTTAAACTTAAATATAATTTTATTAAAAATTATGCCCTCATTCTCTTGTATATATTAGGTCTGTTTGAGTATTAATTTTTGGTTTTTTGTTATTTACTATCAATATATTCTGTGATAACATTTTTGGAAAACATAACTTTGAAGTGTAATAAAGTTGTGATAAAAAATAAATTGTTAGAATCAGCGACTAATTGTTAATTTATTAATAGTATTTAATCCAATTGTTTCATTGATTTTATTGGTGACAAAAAGCGATACAAATAACGAAAAAATAATTTGGATATTCAGAAGTAAAAATTGATTTACATTTGTGACATTTGACACTTTAATAGATCCATCACAAAGTGATTAAATCAATTGACAAAAAAATATGAAAAAAATTTATTTTATTTTAAAGTTTTATATCATTTCTCACTATATATCAAATATGTCTATATGTATACAATTATATATAGTAGACATTTCTGACTATTTATATTAGATTTAGTCGATTATAAAAAACAATAAATATTTTTATTGTGCATTTTATAAATAATATTTTATTATTTTTATAATTACGACATTACAAAGATAATAAAATTTAAATTATGCTATAAAATAAATAAAATGTATGACATATACATAAAAACAATAACTAGGATAATAACTAAAACATTGAATACATTAAATTGATGTCTATAAACATAAAATTTCTTAAACTTTTTTTTAATATTCTTAATACAAGTTTAGGTAATTTTATTTAAAAATGTAATATATTCTCAATAAATGCAAAGCACAAAAATAAATCTCTATTTAATATAATAAATGTATTTTATTTTGACAAAAAAAACTTATTACAAATTTTCAATAAAATATTTCCTTTATGTGTATTTGAAAAATCAAATATTTGTCCAAAAGATGAAATATAAAAGTGAGTTTAGATACGGATTTTGAATACAATAGTATGTGTGTGACTATAAAACTAATAATATGTTATATATGTGAGCATAACATATATTTGGTCAGATTTGCAGATATATATAATAGATATAATACTGTATATAAATGTGTGTAATATATACGATCATAGATATACTTACTTCAGTGGTTTTATTGACTTGACTGTAAAGGATAGCCAACTGATGGTATGCGTCCCTATGGCTGCTGTTTGTATTGATCACTGAATACAGCATTTGTTCCGCACGACTGAAGTTTTTCTGTTGGATCAGTAGTTGTGCCTAAAATTGAAACACAATTTTAAAATCAAATAACAATTCATTATATTTTATAAATGAATGTCAATCACATCCACTAAACATTAAATTATGCTAATTGTTTGCTTTTAATACTAAATTGCTATTTACTAATATATATTATTTAAAAATTATTTATTGTCTTATAAATTATGTTTAGATGAAGTATACATTTTATTGTATTTTTTATAAAATAACAATTAAAAAATTTTATTTATAATTTTATTGTAAATTAAAAACTGATGTAATGTTTTATTGTAAACTACAGTATATGTTATTATAATAGTATATTAAAATATTGTTATTATCTATGTTATAATAAAACTAATATTAATAGCTTTAAAATAATTTTGAATTAAAGCCATAATATGTAAAATTAATAAAATTAAATAATTAAATGAGATAAACAATTATTAATGATTACTATTTCTACAAATGATTTTAGTCTCCCACTCCCTCTCTCTCTCGTTTCATATCTAAATATCTCAATATAGTTATGGAGTGTTTTTATAGTCTAATGATTCGCATCATTGAATTAAATTGCATTTAAGTTTATTTTTTGAAAATCAAATGTAAAGTTTAGACTACAATCACGTCTGAAACGACATAAAATAGAAAATTGAAAAAATTATTATTTAGTTTGAAAAGTATTTTTTATTTTTTTATTGGAATTTTTGTATAATAGTATTTATATTAACTTTTAAGTTTAAAATAAAAATAAATTTTAATATTATAAAAATTAATTTTCAGTTAGTTTTAATAAAATAAGATTAATTTCATGGTCAGCATATAATTTGCTGAAAATTATACTATATATTTTTATAAAATTACAAAAATCACAATTAAAAATAATTTTTTTTTTATAAATAAAGTAGTTAAAGATTTTATCTAATAATTCTGATATTTAATATTTTTAAAGCTAAAAACAAATCATATAAATAAATGTATTGAGTTTGACAATAATTTATAAAATATTATAAACATGTATTATTTTATAATTATCTTTAAATATCATAATTCTTACTTTATTTTTACCCCTAATTACAAGATTTCTTGTTATAGTTTAGTTAGTTTTTAGTTTAATTTTACTTTTAAATTATACTGTACTTAATAATAATAATAATATTATATTATTATTTATTATCAAATGAGATCAAATATTAAATCTAATTCAATGTAAATATTGTATTTAAGTCTTACTGGCGATAAAACTGACAATAGTTTACACATAAAATAATGATCAGACATGAAGTGTCCAAATGCCGGATGTGTTGTCTGTAATAATCGATTGAATATATATTACTCGATTGACTCAAATTATTCTATTGAATGTTAAAAAAAACAATGCATTGAATTAATTTTTTTACTTTTCTTATAAATTGATTCAGTATTGTATTTAGGACTATATATTGTGGGAATAAAGAGTACAATAATTTAGTCAATAAATAATATTATTTATTTACACTGGAAAATAGCTTAAAATAATTATAAATTTTACAAAATAATAAATTAATTTTCTATAAATAATTAAAGTTGTCGCTTATTTGTACATTACTAAAATTAAATAATTTTATTTGTTAAATTTATATAAAATCATATAATAAAGTATTTTTCAGTATTTATTTATCATAAAAATAGTTTTATCATTAGAATTGTGGAATCCCTGGCAAAACTTTATGTGTATTAAATTTTTCCCCAGTTTTACCCATTTCCCACCTCCTCTATTGGTTGATTCAATACTGCAATTGAACCAAACGTACACTTTTTGTTGCAATAAAATTGAAACTAAAGTTAAAATTTAAAATTCAATATTACAGAAAACAGTAAACACACACACATTTTGAATACTGTATTAAATATATATTTATTTATAAAATAACTGTTATTTTATTTGATTTAAAGTAATTTCAAATGGCACTAACATATATTTATTTATTATTTGAACCCATATTAATAAAATTTACAAACTAAATAACTTTATTTGATTTAAATAAAACATTTATTATATTATTTTTTTATCCAATCAATCGATAAAAATATTGTCAAATATGTGATTCGGTTTAAACCAAATATAAAACAATTTCCATCAAAACATGTAATGTTTTATTATATAATTTTATGTCTTGTAATTTATCAGTAAAAATGTGACTCATTTTAAAAACTATTCATAAGAATACAATATATTCAATTTACTTAAAATTTTGAAACTTATTTGTTGAATGTTAAATAAATTACCTTAAAATTATGCCAATAACAAACAATGTTTTATATTGTATAAATAATCATATAGTTTAATATACAAAATAAATGTTAGCCTAACAATCATGAATAAAAAATAAATTGGATTCTTTTAAATGACTATAAATTCAGCAAAAAATACAATATATTCATAATAAAAATAATAATAATCTTTACTAATATTTAATGAATTGAAAATATAAATTATAAATTGTATAAACTTTTACATTAAATAAATACTGTATTTATGTTATATTGTTTAATAATGCTTATACTTTGTCTGAATGCCAATAAAATAAACGTCAAAATTGTTGCCCAAAAGCAGAGTTATAATGAGATCAGTATTTTGTCGAAAAAACACAAAAGAATAAGTGAACATCTTTTTAGTGGAAAATATCAAAAGTATAGTAAAATTTAGCATTTATTTGCTAATAAACCAAATAATGTAAAAATAAAATTTACCAAAAAATATAGTATTATTTGTGTGACACAAAAGCCTAAAGACATTCATGTGTTTTGAATAAAAATCCAATCGAGAACTCAAACTATAAGAATGTCTTCGAGAAAAATATACTTTTATTTTATAGTCATCTTAACTATAAAAACCAATGAAACAAAACAATTGCTAAAAAACAAAATCCAATGAATAATCATTGTTTGAAAATAGGATTTAATTAATTATGAAAATACGATTCTATTCTGTACTTAATTTTATTTATTTTGTGCACAAAACTAATTCAAATTTTTAAAATTTAAATTTGCCCTAAAAATAATAAATATTTAATTAAACTAAGTTTAAGTTGTCTTAAGATAATAATTCAATAACTTTAATTGAATAAAAGTAATTTAAATTTGAATTATTAGTAAATAAAACAATTAAAAAGTAATAATAAAATATAATTGTTTATATAATATTTTATATAAACATAATTAATAACATATATTAATATGATGTTATATATAAAATATTATTAATTTGAAATATATTAAAATGTTTGTTTTTATAGATTTGAAACTTACATAATGTATCTTTCCTTCGCCATAATCGGGATATTTTTGATTCAATATTTCGTATATCTGTTTTGCTTCCAATAGTTTACTCCAACTTATATATAAAACGCCTAAATTGTCTAAAATCAATGGATCCTCTTGTACTGCCAGTGCTCTACAATAATATTTAAATAAAATCATTTTATGATAAAATCCTTTTTCATATCTTTTTAAGGTTTTTTGGGGGGAATATATAATGAAATAATTTAAGAAAACGTTTTTTATATTGTATTTTATATTTTATGATATATTATTTTAAAAATATTATTTATGAGAACTTATATTATTTATATAAATTAAAAAAATTTGAGTGTCTTTTCAATTAAATTTCGTTTTATACAATTCATACAACAACTCAACAAGAAATGTAAAATTTTTTAAAAATTCATTAAAGAATATTCTGAATAAACCAATGTTTTATTTTATTCAAATTAAATCTTTTTTTCTCTATTTTATGTATCTATTTACCCACTATTTTGTGTTATTTTACGTTCAAAGAGGAAGTAAGTGATGAGAGAGAGAAAGAGAGAGAGAGAGACTGATATGAAACATAGCATAAAAGTAGTGAATATTGAATGTTATTTATATTATGAGATGCAGTGATGTAAAGCTGTTTGACTTGAATTGCAAATCATATTGTATTGAATACATTGAGTCACAGCTGACGTACAGACAGTAGTGAAGGCAAAGATGAGACCAACAAATGTATTGCTAGACACATACCATCCCTACAATGGACTCAATTGCATAAAAGCTGATACACTTAATCCCCGCCAGACTTATATGACTTGAATACTAGTCTCAACCAAATTCAATGATATAAATGCAAAAACCATTCAAATTAGTTTATATGTTGCATATATTGAATAAAACAATCAATCAATAGTCAAATATATTGAGCTTACTTTTAAACCGATATCGTCTATAATTTATATATTATAGATATGGATGTATACAATAAATTATATTACAATAGTGTAAAACTATCCATAATATTTTAAATATCATAAAATATGTTATATAAAAATAGTTTAATAAATTTTTGACTTGAAATTTAAGCTGAAGTTCTATAACTTTATATTATTTTTAATATTTAATGCTATTATTTTATCTTAATCGCAAATTTATTTAAATCGGATAACATTTATATAACTAATGAGATTTTACAATTTGAGTAAAATGCATTTATTATCTCAAATTAATTTACAAAACAAACAGTATGTTAATGTTAAAAAAATTAATTGAGAGTATTAGCTATTATTGTTCAAAATAAAAATAACAAACACTAAAAAACAAATTTTAGGATAAATGAATCGATAAATTAGAAATACTGATTGTCTTATATGAGATTAAATAACAAGATTTTCTTTCATTTAAATCTCTTATAAGTGTATCTTTAAATTAATGGTTTATATTATATATTATTGTTATATAATCAGCTTATTTTGGAATTAGATATCATATCATATAATGCAAGAGTTGTTTATTATTTCTAAGCATTTGTGCCAAAAGCTTATCATAGGTTATAAAATTTTTTGTTTTTGTTAACATTATTATAATTTTTATTACTTAATTCTATATATATATATTAAAATACCAAATAATTTTTGCTTCACGCATATATACATTCTACTGTATAATATTCATACATAAATTAATAAATATAATAGTAATAATCAATTTTATGTAGAAAATAATATAAACTAAGAAATAAAATAATCGTTATTACTGTAAAAGCTTATTTTATTTATAACACACATCAGATTATTATACTTTTATATTAAATAACTGTTCATAATTTGTTTTAATACAAATACAATATATTCAATTAAATATTAATTGTATTTATTAAAATACAGCACTTTTTAAAATTAATATACAGTATATTGAAAATATTTATCAAAGTATTTGGTAAATAAGTTTTTTCAAAACAATATATGTCTTCAAATAGTCTATAGTAAAAAATGTTTAAGAAAATACTTAAATATGATTTATGTATATATTGTGTCTAACTCTGTATATCTATGCTATTATATATTTTGTGGTTTGTTTTCTTAAATAAATAAATAAAATCTTTTTCCATAAATATTATAATAAATAAAATTCTATAACATATTATTTAATTTATATAAAATTTAATAATATAAAATATTTTTAATTATATAATATAATATTTACTTTTAAAATTATGAATTTATTGAATATACTAATGATTTTTATAGTTTAGTTGTCATTACGACACTTTTGTCTGTATATTTGTATTTCTTATCAAATATTATCTATCAGTTTATTTGTTTACATGTTTGTCCTTTACTATTAAAATGAAAATATTTGTATATAAAAAATACATTTGAATTTTCAATTTAGTAAATCACAATATACTTTACTGTACTATATTTAACTGTGATGTTGTCCATCCAAATCATTATGTATTGTAATATAAAATTGTTTGTTTAGTATAGTACTGTAGTAACTGTAAATATAATATGTATTTTTATATGTTTTTGTTTAGTGTCAGTAGACTTATAACTAAGTATAGTAACGGAAATAAATATGTTGAAAGGATTTCCTGGTAATGCCTGTGCGGTTGGCATCAAATGATTGGGACCTAAAAACTTGTCTTTTTTGTTGTTAAGCGTCGGACAAAATTATATACAATGTTTGTGCTATTATTTTGATCAGTCTTTTAAAAAATATGTTTCATATCCTAATTCCCTTTTATAAGTCTTACGGATCAATACAAGGACTACTATACTATAACTAAAGCCCTGAGTCCTACTATTAATCACAATATGATGTCTCAGATTCCCATTATATAGAGAATCGTTTATCACTATTGTTATATCGACTCTACAAAAACACAATTCAAGCCACTGTTATGTACAGTGTGTGTGTATTTTGTAGCCACTATTTAGGTGCTACCCATGTGAGCGTCATTGCGGTTATTTTGCCGACAAAAACACTAACTATCCTTAAAATATGATATATAATGTATTGTAATATCAAATAAAAAATACAGACCTCTTGTAAAGAATCTCCGCTTTTTTCGTGTGTTTCATAGATTTGAGAGTTCGGGCGGCGTTTACCAGTGCTATCGTATGGTTAGGCTGTATGTCTATAGCTTTCAGGTACTGTTTGATTGCTTCATCACTACGACCTATCCATTCAATTAAGATATAAATGAGTTTTATTTCAAAGTAAATACTTTGCATTGTTATATAAGTTATTTTTTGTCCAGTTTTTTCATTTATACTTAAAAAAGAGATATATATTATCTTTCATATCATTTTTGCTTTCTTTGTAAATATCATAACAGTCTCTTTAACGATAAAAATGTGAAAATATTATAAAAGATAAATAAGTAATAAAAAAGTTAAGTATAATACAGCATAACATTTACCTCTATTTTTCTTTAAATAACGGCCTGTCATTAGATATTATTTATCTTAAATATAACTGTCATTTCATAAGTGATATCAAACGATAAATGATTTACTATATTAAACTCACCAATTCTTTCATTTGATATCAAAATAGCAATTAAAATAAATACATCTGAAGTAAGAAAACAATTAAAATTGAATTACATTCAGAATAACAGTATTTATCTCTTAATTTAAAAAATGACAAATATTTAAAAAATTATATATCATATGATAAAAATATTAAGTGAAGCTATTACTATAACTACTGTATTTATATAAATATATAATATAAAAGATACCTAATTTCTGCAAAAAGGCACCAAAATTATTACAAAAGTCTGCATTTTCAGAGTCAAGTCTAAGTGCTTGCAAATGAAGTCTTTCCGCTTCTTCATTACAACCAATTTGACCATAAAGTGAGGCCAACGCTGAGTACGGTTCGGCAAATTCATCGTCCAATTCAATAGCTTTCTTTAACAACGATATTGCTTTTGAAGTTAATCCTTGTTTACTGTCAATTCAACAAAATTATAAATTATGATAAGTATTAGCATTTTAAATCATCAATCAATCAATCAATGTTAAGAAACAAGTTTTTTAATGTATTAATATTTCAAAAAATTATCATTTATTTTAAAGTTATTTTGAGAGTTAGTACTGTACTTGTGTTTCAAAAAATGTTTGCCAATATTATTAAGCCGTCAAATAAAAGGCAGAATTACCTAACAGTTGAATCAATTGATTATTTTTAGCTCTAGTTTTATATTTCGCTCATTTTTATGAATTATTTCAAATATACAACTTATAACTCAATACTCGACACAAACTTAAAAAGTTCTCGATTTACACATCAATTGTTACCATTTTATTTAATTTCCTAAAACACAACGCTATCACTACTAATAAAATTCACACTTTTTTTTGGTGTCTGATTGCTGTAAATAAGTATAAATTACATAAAGTAAACTCATTAAATGATTGATTGTTTTTATAATCATTTATAATGTTTTACTATATTTATAATGTTGACTCTTCTTGAATTTTTCATATCATTAACTAAAAACATTTTTATTAATTTTAATTAATTGTTATTATGATTCTGAATTTTATAATAAATTATTTATAAAAGAAAAATTGCTTATAAATATCTGAAATGTTATAAAATATTATTAAAAATGGTTATACTTTATATTATGATATTAAAATAATTATTCCAATAATCTCTTATATTTATTTTATTATTGATATATATAATATAATAAAATTTATTTAAAAATGATCAAATTTTAAAAATAATTATTATAATAAAATTTGAAAATCAAAATAGTATAAATTGATTAATGTTTTATAATCAGTTCATTAATTTAAAATATCTTTTACAACAAGACATAAATCATGAAAATATTTTATAAAAATGCTTTATTTATGACATTAGATTGTAATTTATATACTGTTTATTGACATCAATGATAAGGAATTTATAAATTCAGTTGTTTTGTTATTGTATACGATTAATGAATGCCAAATAAAATCAATTCTTAATAAATGTAAATTGCATTATAAATGTATGTTTGAATACCTGTATATATTGGCTAAATTGAAGTGAGCTCTCGGATGAAACGGGTTGATAGCCAGCGCTGCCTTAAAATGTTTTTCAGCCGATTCTGTTTCGGAAAGTTCACAGAATAGTGTTCCCAAATTGTTGTGAGCACTGGCGTGATCTGGCCATAGGCTATATTACCAGTAAATATAAACCAAAATATTTAAACCAATAAAAGATTTAATAACACAAAACTAAAAATAAGTTTATAATATAAAAATCAATTAACAATTTACAAATAATAGATTTAACTAATATTGATAAATAATTTTGACATTTACATAAAATTGGTTAATCTATATTTAAAGTAATATTTGCATTAATAAAATTTTGGTTAAATTTTGAATAAATATTTAAACAGCAGATGTTTTGAAGAAAAATTGATAAGCTATCATATGTTATCATTATTTTTATATTATGTATAATACTTATAGAAATCTTATTAAAATATATTTAGTTTACCTCAAAATTTCAAAAATAGTACATTTTTAAAGTTGTATATAAAAAAATATATAAATTTATTAAAAATTTATTATAGAATAGTATTTCAATTGTATATACTTAATATACAATTCTAATTGAATAAAATATTATTATATAATTTGCTTAATTAAAAATTGAAAAATGTTTTTTACATGTTTTGTTAAATCACATATTGCAACTTATAATTAAAATTTAATTTTTTGTTTGCTATATTTTTCATATAATTTGATAAATAAAGCCAACACTTGAAAAATGTCAGAAAAACACACGAAAATATAATTAGTCACAAGTGAAGTGAGTAATTAATTATTATTTTTAATAATCAGATTGTGTTGAAAAACGGGTCAAAACAATGGCTTTATAATTAATATAATACCATAAATATAATAATGAAATGCAAGTCAATGTATTACTTATTATATATACAATTATATTCAAGTATCCACTCGTATATCGTATTTCCTATTTATTCAATAAGTACTCTATCATAAACATTCATTACATGTATTTTATTAATATAAATATTACAATATATAAGTTATATTTAATATTGAACTCAAGTATATTTCCAAATGATTTTAATATTATGATCAATGAATTTGTAGATTCATAGATAAATAGTTAGATTGTTATTAATATATTAATAAAATGTGTGAACAAACCTGAGAGCATTGGTGTAATGTTTCATAGCCAGTTCAATATTACCCAGGTCCTTTTGTAAATTAGCGTAATTATAATGAGTTTTTGCATTTTGAGGAAGACTTCTAAGTCCAGACCTAATATTACAAACAATATGACAAACAAATTGTTTTGTTTTTATACAATATTATCAATAGTAGTGTTATTAAAATTGTCTGCACTTTATTAACACAGACATTGATTATTGCGGTAAACATATGCCTATTGACTAATTGTTTAGTTATTGAAAATAAAATGTAAGCCTTTTATAGAAAATTGGTTTATAAAATGCTTTTGGCATAACATGACTCACTCGAAGAGGGCCTCTCTTGACATCCATGACTTGTTCTGTCTGACAGTCTTTATGGTAAATATAATGATTAGTCCAAACAATACGGATCTTATTATTGGAGTTAATTTTTTGGCAAATATATGTGTGCTGTGAGTAATTCGTTGATAACCAATGCAAACCAATATAATCATACCAATACTGCAAGTATACGGTATTTAACAATATATATAATTTACATACAATAATACTTTAATTGAATTGTTTATATCAATAGTGTTATAGATAATACCTTGGTATATATAAAACTCTTTCAGCGACAACAAAGCCAACGGTTATAAACAAATTAGAGGCCGGAATGTATGGCATTATTAATAATGTCAATCCTATACATACTTTCCGATAGTAAAGTTGAGACTAATATATTGATTATATAATATAATAAATATATATTACAGTACATACATATTAATAATACAATATTATAAATTAATGAAAATGTATAAATAATATTTATGGAAATCTCAATCATTTGTTTATTAATATTTTTAGCAATTAGTGATTGTCTTTGACTAACCTGATGGTCGACACGAGATAAAGTCAGGCTTTGATATATTTTCCATAAAATTGCAAACAAAATAGTAAACAATATTAAGGAAAATATATTTCTGGTGTCGGAAATACTAGTTATCTGTTTAATACTTCCCATTTGCCAGTCATAGGACAGAGTTGATGGCAAAAGAAGGAGTCGGGCGTTAAATGACGACAAATAACTGTATGTTAGAAACCTGTTTGTCATAAACCATAATATTAGACATTGTTTGACATTATTTTAATATAACATTCAAATGTTTGACACTCATTATGATTTTATTAATATAGTCTGTCATATGTGTTATTATATAAATTGTAATAATAATCTGTTTATAATATATAATAATATACATCAATTGCACTGTAATTTTCCATAACTCATAATAATATTAATATATTATATACATTATATACATTATCTTTATTATTTTATAGTGTTTAAATAATTTCAAAATTAACAACCAAATTAAAGTATGTAAAATAATAATCAATAAAGGTCTGGCTAACAATATATTATAATAAGATATCATAAGTTATATCTTTGTATTATAAGTTGGATTTAGTTAAAGCTGTTTCTTCAAAATTTATAAACAAAAGATAATTAAATATACTAAAAATATTAAAGTAAATATAATATTTGTGTAAATTTACACATAAAAATAACTATCAATTATTTATTAAAAATATAAATTCAAGATTATAATTTGTTACTGTAGTTACTGTAAAACACCCTTAAATGATACTTTTCAGTACTTGTTTTTCTATAAATAGCAATAATTTAATTGTAAAAAGCATTAGTTAGATACAGTATTTATTAGATGGACATACCTGGACATGGCTGAGTTAGCAAACGAAACAGGGTTGTCCTGTTCACTGAATATGGGAAGAGTTCCTCCTAGAAGTGCAATGCGATACCAAAGCGATACCATTAACTGCAAAGGTATGAGCAGTAGGTTTGTGTTAATTATTAATTATTTAAATAAATCAATTGAGTGTCAATTTTATGGATTGCATTAATATTGCTTACAGTTATCACAACAGATATAAGTGGACTATAGAGCCATACTTTGTTTGCTTGACTAACACTTTCTCTCATTGAAGTCGATGAGACATTTCTGAGGCATTAAGAAAAATAAGTGATAAGTAATGTATTAAAAGATAAGTTGAGACAAGAAATGTACGACACGTGATGTCGCAAATGCTTAAAATTATATATATATATATATATATATTATAAAACAAAAGATTTTATTGATGATTAAATTTATCTTTATATTTCACAATTATTAAACTTTCATTTATTCAATTATAGTTTCGTTATAATTAAATTATTTTAATTGTTTAATATTATATAAATTAATATTTAATATTGATTCTATTGTAATTAAATTAAAGAACAAATTAAACAAAAATATAATGGTTTTGTAAACAATTAATCCATTCAAACGAGAAAACAAGATTTAATTAGATTTAATGGGTAATCGTATACTTATTTAAATAAAATAAACTAATTTCTAATGTAATAATCAGAAAATATACGATTACTTACTTAAGAGGCATTTGAAGGCTATTCCATCTAATGATGAGAAAGTAGACAATAGAAGCTCCTAATACAGTGATGCCCTGCTCTTTGGACAGTAGGGCTAATATTGAGGTGATTTGGCATACAGTCAACAAAAAGATCATCCGTTTGTTAACCACAACACAATGAAGTGATCTATTTATTTATAAAAACAAATCTAAATTTAATTTTACTCATTGTCTTGACTTTTTATTTTTAAATAAATTTCAATATAACAGAATAAATAAAAATCTAAAATAAAACTAATTTATAATAATTTATAGTTTCTAAGGGATAATAAATATCTATTTGCTATTCACTGGTCTATTGTTGCAAAATTGTTACTAAAACTATACCATACGGTGTATTGCATTTAATAGATGTATATTTGCTATTTAGAGTGAATTTGACTATAACTATGAATAGCATACTATGTGTCACATAACTGTTGGTAAACTATTTATTTTGATTGTTTTAATTGATTTCTCACTAACTGACAGAGTGATAGATTCAGGTGTTGTGACATTTGGGTACACAATGTATTAACTATAGATTGTATATAAATCTAATATATCAACGACTGGTCGACTATAAGTATAAGCGAAATGAAATAGCAAAGTAAATCTCATTGTCTCTCATTGCGCTTAACTGTCATTTGTCATTGAGATAATTGGTGTATTCAAACAATTGCTTAGTACTACTACTACTACTACTACCAGTGCTCTATTGTTTGCCAGTGTTAGTCCAAAAAAGTATTTTTATTAAACAACAGGAGAAGCATAAAACAAATGTATTAAACACTTACTTAGCAAAAGCAAGAAAAGAGACCAAATAGAAGATACAACACAAGACATCAGCCCTTCCAACGATACTCGAGATCTGTTTGGTTATACAGAAGATTGAAAAATGAAATTTGTTAGACTGTGCCACATATGACCAACAATAAAACAATATATTATATTTTCTACAAATAATAAATAAATTATATTATTTAAAACAAATTTAACAATCATTATTTGGTATTAATTTAGCTAAATTATTAAAAATTACACTATTTTTATATTATCGATTATATAAAAATAGTGTATTTATATAATGTTTGTTAAATTGAAGCTAAACACATTAAATTAAAATAATCATAATTGTTTTATTATATAGGTACATTAATTGATGATATAATAAGAGATTATACATTTAAAAATAAATATTCCTATACTGTATATAACTTAAATTATCAATGCACATAACATTATATATATTCTAATTGTAATTTAAAATTTTAATCTAATATAATACAAGTACTAGTAATTTACTTTAATATTAACATGTTTTCACATTTATTTTTAACATTTTAATTGCAAATTGTAATGTAATGAATAAATTATACATTTGATTGATTATATTGAAAAAAACAAAAACTAATCTCAACAATACATTTTCGTAAAGAGATTTCAATTATAAAAGCAATTTATAAGAGAAAAGCAGAGAAAATAAAAAATAGTCAATGATTTGCATTTGTACTGCAGATTGAAGTGCTTTGAATATTTTATTTAAAAAGTTTTCCAAAATAATATATTATTCATTAAGTGTATTCAAAAATTATTAGTCGCATAGTGAGCACCGGGAGTCTAACGGTATGAGTATTATGAGTATAGTATTAACAACAAAAAACAACAACTGTGTTATCAATTGTATGAATGGGACGAGTGATGCGTTAAACAACTTTACACTTGTGTTACACAACTCTCGGCTTAATTCACTCTTTAGTTTTTTGTCTCGTCTTTAGTTTCAATTAGACTTTTATCGTTTGCCTAACTCTTTACACAACTGTTCCCAATGTTATATATAATACGATTTATGTTATGATCCCATTCCCCAAAATGTTTGTACTGTTTTTATTAGCTGTAAATCAATTCAAACAATAATGTATTCATTGAGACATATAAATAAAAACCATAAATTAATGAATAGTATTTTCATTTTTATTTATTTATAATTATAATACTCTTACTTTTTGTTGAAAACTATTATCACTAAATATTGTAAAAATTATAATATTATATACTGTACTGTATATTATATGAATTGCAAAGTGGTGGCAAACTTTAATAAAATAATTTATATATTTTATTATAAAAATCTCAATTTAATTATAACATTTTTATTGAGATTTATTTATATTGGACATATAATTAAATCAATAAATGATAGTTTTTATTAAGTTACAGTATATGAGATTTAAATTATATATATATTGATTGTTAAACTCATAAAACATTTACAGGTAATATTATCAATAAAAATATTAAATCTCTAATAAAAAATAATTTATAATTATATTAAGTTGTTTTCATATTAGATAATAATTAAATTATTTTCTTCAATATATTAATCTATAATTAAGTACAGTATATAGCTTATTACTATCAAATATAATTATATATTAAATATATAATAATAATAATAATAATAATACCGCTTCACAATGGATAGGATGAGTTGCAAAGAGAAGACCCGATAGTAATGACAATTCATAGTTAAATTGTAGTTCACTTCTCACGAGATAAACCATCAAAAGTGATGCCATAGAGTGAAGTAAAGCATTAACCAAATGAAACCCAAATGTTTGACTGCTGTACATCATATTTAACCTATTATTTATCAAATAAACAAAAAATTTGTCAATAATTAATAAATAAGTTAAATCATAATTATTTTAATATAATATTAATTACTTTATACAAAAATACAATATACATATAATAATAAAATTTTTAAATTATAACTTGTATTGTAAATATCGTGGCATTCATTACCACTTTTGCAACTATCAGACCATACATTGATTTAAAAGATTTATAAGTGAAATGTGTAGTAAATATATTAAGCACGCAATCATAACAGTCATTAATTTTTTACACGTATTTTGCAAATATTTTCAGCAGACTATAATCTGTAAACTTTTTATTATAAAATATCATAATTTTAAATCAAATTAATTATTTTTATATCTAAAATAATAATACTTATAAAAATATACTTTATACTATTTAACACAATTTATAGCTAAATTTATTAAATATTTTTATATTTATTATAATATTTAATATTACATGATTAATTGTTTAAATAAATGTTGTTATTGTCATATTTAAATTAAAAATAAATTTAATTTAATACCTTAAAAGATGATATTATTTTAAATAATTAAATGTAATTTACAATTTTCATAGTGCTTATTGCAAAATACAAAATATATCAATATATTTGAAATTAAAATATTAATTATAAAAAAGATTCAAATTTTCAATAGATTTAATGAATTCAATTAAATGTAAATTTTTGCAATTAATTTTGAAAACTAATGGTAATTATATAAAAGTTATTTTTATTTTTGGATTTTTAATTGAAGTAAAACAATATAATGGCAATTATTTGGAAACCCAACTGATTTTGATTTAAAGCCTTACATATATTAAATAGCAGTAATGTATGTAAAAATAAAAAATAAATCTATAATTGCACGTTAGCTATAGTATACAATAGTAGACAGTATTTAATATCAATACTACTACAATATATGCAATATAATATTATACAGTATTATCTAACACTGCATACTGTTTAACATTAAAAATAAATTCAGATTTTATTGATGATAATTAGTCTAATATTATTTCAATCTACTATATATTGATATTAATGTTATATTCTGTATGTATACTTGTAATAAATCAAATAAACGAAATTAGTTTAATAGTTTAATAACAATGAGTTGTATCTTTTGTTTAATATATTTTTAATAATATTATGATATAATTGCATACCATATAAATACTGTACTAAAGTATGTTTGTACTTTTTAGTTATATTGCTACTACTAAATACAACTACAAATAAAACATATTATAAATAAACTAAATTTATATATAAAAATAAATAATATTTGTATAAATAATGTATAATGACATAAATACAGGTAAATTATTATCATTTCTTAAGACATGCTCTAAATTACAAACCACTAATACAGTCAAACAGTATTAAAACCATATCATGTAATGTATGGTTAAGAATAAAGTGAAAGAAAAAATGATAATTTTATACATTAGTGTTGGTAAAGATCTTTATGTGTGAGTTATATCTCAACAATAAATTTTATTTATTTTCTAAAGATTTTGTAATTTTATAAAACATTTTTTCAAAATAAATATTACTCTAAGTTTCGTATGTTAAACAAAAAAGACTAGATTTTGAAAAAACTCTTCATAAATATATATATAAAGTATCATCAAATATATTATACGTTTAAATAAATAACTACAAAGATATTAGAGCTATAACTTTGAAAAAGTTTTATTACAGTTTTATAAAAATCATTTCTAAAAGCATTTAAATTTAAAGAATTAATTAGTATTAAAATTTCTCAGATATATATCATTTTCTAATTGTAGTCATCGCTAAATTAGACTATATCTTAAAAATATTTTCTTTAAAAAATATATAGTTTGTTTTTCTAAATCTAATATATAATTTGCTGAGATATGTATTAAAACTTAATTTTTAGTATAAATAAGTTATAAAAAATATTAGATATATAGACATAGCTTAAATAAAATTAATTGAATTATTTTAAAAAATACTAGTTTGTCCCGAGCAACATGTATAGCCGTGCAATTCTTTTACTAATTTAAAAATATTTACTATAAGTAATTTGAATGAGACTTAATTTGTTTATACAACTACTACATAACCTAATGTAACAAAACTACTGAACCAATACACATTAATTCGACTAAACTTTTGAGAAATTTTAGTTTTTATATATATTTAAATAATTTTAATAAAAATTGAAAATTTAATTTTTGCGAAAAAAAATTTGCATTTGAAAAAAATTTACTGAAATTTAACACATGTAGCTAACATGTGCCATAAACTCACACAATATAGCAAAGTGTAATTACACGACACACCAGCCTACCTGTCCCTAAAACCTACCTGAGCTCAACAAAAATTTAAAATTTCCCATAGAAATAACATTACTTTAAATAAAAATTGAAAATTTTAACACAAATTGAAAATTTTTGCATTTGAGAAAATTTTACAAAAATTTAGCACAGGTAGCTTACCTCCCGGTGCCCTGTAACTCATATAATATAGCAAAGTGTAATTACACGACACCAGCCTACCTGTCCCTAAAACCTACCTGAGCTCAATAATCATTTAAAATTTCCCATAGAAATAATATTGCTTTAAATTAAAATTGAAAATATAACAATATATTTTTAGCTTTGAATTAAAAAATGGTTGTTGAGGAAGTGTGCACACATACAAACAAACAAACAAACAAACAAACAAACAAACAAACAAACAAACAAACAGACAAAACTATTATATTAAAGTTATTAGGATTAAATTACTGATATCATCAAAATTTTGGTTGTCAAGTATAAAATTTTTATAATTTTTTATATTTAAATATATATAAATTTTAATAAAAAATATTTAAAAATAATACTTTTTCAGAATTATAGTTAATGTATTCTATATGTATAGTATCTATACTACTATATAATTTGTTCAATGTTTGTATCAAATTTGTGTGACGCAAACAATTACTTTTGATGTGTCGCGCGATTATTAATAATTTTAATTTATTAAATAAAAAATAAATAAAATATACTTTTTATAATACACTGTATATTATATAGCGCGTGAAAGCATTGTTTAGTAAAGAGAAAGATTGAGAGAGAGTATTGTTACACGTGTTAACTATTGATACACATTTTATTACATGGATCTAACTGTATATATATATAAATTTAATAACAATATAATTGCACAGTTTATCACGAACTCCTGAAAGGAGTACGTATATGCATTCTATAAGTCTGTCTGTCTGTCTGTCTGTCTGTCTGTCTGTCTGTCTGTCTGTCCCACGAGGAGAAATGATCGAATCCACGCTCTGCTACACATTTTGTTGATTTTTTTCTTGATTTTTTTCTTTCTTAAGTTAAGGAGTTCGTATGGAAATGCTTTTGAAGCATTCTCAACTGGTTTTATAATTAATTTGTATTAGTACTTGTATTTGAATATGATTAAAGTTATTCATGAATTTAGCACAAAAAAATCTGTACCGTATTTGATAAAACATATACTAAAATATTTAATATTTATTTTTTCAATTATTTTAATTATTTTAATCTCAATATAGTATTATTTTATAAAATCAATAAATATTTCTCCAAAGTTTAAATTTGCCTAAATTATACAATAAAAAGTGTATATATTTAGCACAAATACGTGTATATAATAATTTTGTGGTTTATTTCAAGTACTGTTTATATGATCTACAAAATCAAAATTTTGAAGTTATTTTACAATCATTGAAGTGTTCACTAAAAAATAAATTTTCATTTGCTATTTTCAATTTAACTTAATGTTTGTTTGTTTTGTTGAACTTTTCTTAAATTTTAGGATAATATGTCTTCATATCTCATATATTGACCATTGATTTGATGTTTACTGAAGACATTTCCACAATATATTTAATTAATTTATGGTTAAATACATTTCAAAATATATTATTAGTAATCTTTAAAAATATAAAATACTTCACATAATTCAGAACTACAGTTATAAATGTTATAATAAAATATAATAATATAATAAAATTAAAATAAGAATATATTTGAGTAAATTGCAAACTCTCTTATAAATTATAATTAATGTAATATCTATCAAATTATAGATAATATTCAGTAAACACATAAACAAAACAAAAATATCATTGTTTAAATAAAATATTTGCAAAAGTCTAATACAATAATATATATCGTAAAGAAAAGTAGATTCACATAAAATACAGTCTTATGAAGTAATGTTTGCTCTGTTGTCTCAAAATACAATCATATAATAGTCTAATCCCTGAAATCTTTGACTTTATTCAATTCAATAGGAAATCATATTTTTTAGCAAAGCATTTGCTAAATAATGTTTTGGCCCTTTGTTTGCCCACTTATGACGAGTTTAACTAATAAAATAGAGGACCACTTGCTATGAGAGACTTCATCTGCAAATAATAAGTCACTGAAAGTTAGAGAAATAAGAATAGCCTCAGGAATTGATTGGGTATTGTATTGCATCCATAAATGTCATCAAATCTGTCGATAACTCTCTCTCTCTCTCTATATATATATATATATATATATATATATATATATATATATATATATATATATTACAATAAATCATACAACCATAACTTGTATAATACAAGCAATAGCTATAAATATGGGTTAACTCTGTTTATCATATATAAAGTCATTGTCAGCTAAAATGACCTCTCGTTTGACTACATTGAACGGTATATTCAATAAATTCATAAAATATTTTCTTAGTTTCTATTTATGTCGTAAAATAATAATAATCACACCATAAGTCACTCGGAATTAATAAACAATGTATTTTTCTTAGTCTTTCTATTTATATATTTGTTTATTACAACATCTCATATAACTTATATAATAGTATATTATATACAATGGTATTGTTGTGTTGACACAACAACTAACATGTTATGCCAGCACTGAAATAACAGCTGCTATTCAGCAAAAAAGTAATTTTTTCAACTAATACTATACTCTAGTAG